CTACTGGTTAAGGGTAGTTACTGCTAGACTGTAGGTAAATAGAGTCCCAGGTAGGGTTGCAGCCTGCAAACCTTACACCATGAGCCCTTGACTGCCATCGGAGCCACGGTTTAGGGTTTAGGGTTTAGGGTTAATTGGGACTCCTCCTGCGCGTGTTGAAACTTCCGGTGATGGGCAGCAATTCAAACGACTATGCCCACAATCCAAGCCTTGTGGCCTCACGTGCTTGAATCCTAGCTGAGCCCGCACACCCCAGGATTCCCGACCGATAATGGAAACCTCGTTTTGAGGGATATACCTTACACTCTGCTGGGAGGTTCAAGCCCTGTTCCTTATTTCTCAAATATTAGGCTTGTTGGCAAACTGGAGGGTTGCCCTCAGCCCTACACCGCAAAACCCTAAGCCCTATACCTGTTTGAACCAAGGCCCGCTAGAGATAAAATCGATCAAAGAAGGGCAGAACTCTTTCTCAATACTGACTACTCCTGAGCGCTCACAGCTGAAGCACGACTGCTGAATGAGTCGGACTGTTCCTCGGCCAAATGTCTTCGACATTTGGGGTTACAAAGTCTGTTCCACATAAGGCTGGTCCATTTGTAGATGACCCGACATCGCTGTTGCGACTAGATCTCGTGTCACGGCCCCCTTTGTCATAGCGTCAGCCACCATACTTCGCGTGTCTGACCAGAAAAGGACCTTCAAGCGTCTTGACTGCAAGAGACCTCGCATCCACAGGACATGGAGTAACAATGATGGCTCTGCGGGCACACGCACGTTCGGTGCGGTCACGGCTGTTGTCACAGACTTGGCGTCCATAACTAACCCAAGGTCCACATTGAGCGGCAGCTTGCTCAAACTTCGCTGTCGTCATGATTTCTGGCTGTTCAAGCTGCAGCGCTGACAGAGGCAGCTCAGGAACTGATGCTAGTTCACTCATGACGTGTTCTTTCAGCTCTGCTGCATCTGTGGGGTGATGAGCTACAGACACTAGCTCAGTACTACACGCGACGAAGGCTTCTTTGTACGCTAGTGCTTCTTGGGGGTCAATGTCATCTCCAAACATTGCTTGGACATCCTCCCAGCTGACATGCGCAGACACTTCGGACTCTGTACCTTCAGGGATGGTGGAGAGTCGGCCATGCTCGGAACTGGCTTCCTGGTCGTTGTCCGGGGAAGCTTGGGCCGTAGCTTGTGTGCCTTCAGCCTCAGGCATTGACCAGCGCTTTGTTGCGGTCCAGCCTTCTTCCTCAGGGACACCGAGGAACTGCATTGCCCGGACCTCAGGCCATGTCTGACCGACTAGCTCTACCATTGATACTTTAGGCAGATTGCTATGCAGGAAGTTGATCTGACGCGATCCGTGCGACAACCACCACAGTGTCACTGCGTTGGTGTACTCCTCTCGGGGAGTCAGAGAGCGAATGGCCCTGGCCAGTCGGACTGCAATCACAGAGGTCATCTGAAAAACGGTTTCTGCGATATACATACTGGCCTGATATATCGTGCGATGTTCGGCAGTTTGCGGCGTCTCCAACCACAGCCCTTCAGCATTACAACCGTGTTTGGCTTAAGATCATCAACGAACTGCTGCACGACTTGCTGAGCGTGATTCGCTTGACTGCCTGCTGGAGCCACATGATCATCTGCGCCAAAATACGCAGCTAATTCTTCTGAGAGGAATGCCAGGCTGGGTCTAACATCCTGCAATCTACATGTCAGCACCTGATCAGTTGATGTGCGGACTCCGACCCTGCCATGTTCCAAGCGTGTCAAGTCTGCGATCACGGCTGGGCCACGCCATCCACTGGCCTCTTTGTGCTGAGGCTCACGCCAGTAGTCAACTGATTGGCCCAGCTCGAACTGAAATTCCAAACCTGCGGGCTTGGTTTGAGTGTGAGTGGCTCGCTTAATTCTCTCCCTTGCTGTGCCCTCAGCAATTGCTTGCACTGCAATTTCACGGAGACGGTGAGTGTGACGGGAGAAAATGTCGGGGACACCGTCGCTTAGCAGCATGTCATCTGACGGCAACAAAGCAGGAGTTCGACCCAACACCGCCTCATAAGGCGATCTCCCGTTGATGCTGGTTAGGGCATTTAGTGCATACACGCAGTCGCACACGATGCGCTCTAGGGGAAGCTGAAGGCCTTCCTCATCTAATTGAGTGACCATTTTGTGCAGGGAATCCCTTAAGACTGCGATCTTTCGATCAACAATTCTGGTGTGCTGATGCGGGGCTGCCGTCCTTTTGGTGACGCCTTTCATTTGGAAGTACATGGTGGATTCCTCATCATCTAGCGCATGCTCGCCATCGAAAATGAGGATCTGCATTGGCCCAAAGACGGCCATCCACACCTTGTCAAGCGCAGACAGAATGGTTGAAGTTGAGCGGTTCGGGATAGGGGCAACAGCTGTCCAACGGACTCCCCTGTCAGTGAGCACAAGAAGTATGCACTGGCTGCCTTTATGCCGGAAGAACATGAGATCACCCTCTACTTCTATGTTGAAGCCTATAACCATCCGACTGCTTGCACGGACATCTGAGCTGGGGCGTGCCCAGTGGCGGCACACCTTGCAAGTGTCGCAGATAGAGTCTACAAGGTCAAGGACTTCATTGCTGAGGCCTGCTGTTCGGAGCAGTTGCTTCATCTTGTCTGTGCTGCAATGGAACCATCGCAGGTGAAGCTTTCGCAGCAGACGACGTCTTGCTGCTTCGTCACCATGCCTTAAGCCTCGGAGCGTGGCTTGGACATCGAAAGCTCCCCAGTCAGCGGGCGCTGGAGGCTGGACTGCTGCATCACGCCATGTCCTGCGCTCACGCGGCACGACATCAGGGCCTCTGCGCCTGGGTTCACCTTGCTTGTCGTCCTGGTCTGGCTCGTCACCGGGACGCATTGCTGGAAGCTCAAGCGATGATGCTGCGTCATCATCCTCATGGATGGGTTGAGGTCCTCGGTGACTGCTTGATGGTTCGCTGGCCGTGGCCTCCTCAGCTTTCTGTTCATCATGGATTCCTAGCTTGGAAGCTGGGATACCTGAGGTCGGCTCTCCCCGCGCTGGTACTCGGCCAAAAGGTCGCCGCTGCTTGGCCGACTTGCGCGGTATGGTCACAGCATGCTTGCAGTCCGGGCCGAAAGTGTGCGATTCATCGTGTCTTGGCTTGCGATTCTTGCAACCCGGACATTCAAATTTTATGGTTTCGTCATCTGGATATTTGCACTCACCTCTGATCCTACTGTGCATTTCATCCCACCGGTTCAACCTCCACAGGCAGCCTTTGCATTTACGCCATGCTTCTGGCACAAGCTTTTCTCCTGCATCAGTGGTGCCGCTTGCTACTGAGGGGTAGCTAGCCTGGGCACCGGAAGCTGTGGAAAGGCGTCGGACTAGCTGCTCAATGCCGTACGCTAGCAGCCTACACATCTTTGGAGTCCAGCGCTGAGTGCCTTTTGCTTGACTGCCAAGCAATGAAGCATGTTCATGCTGGCCATCGCATTGGAGGTTGCAAAACGGTTGAAGGACCTCAGGACAGTTGGCTACCAGCTCTGTCGGCTTCTTTGCTGGCACGCCTTGAACCGCCTGACCTACCATACACTGGTGGAAAACAACTCGTTGACACTGCGAGTGAGTGCGAATGTCAGGCCAAGGACTCACCTCATACATGCTTGATGGATAGGGTTGCTCAACAACATAGTAGCGGCCATTGCTCTGCTGCACTTGCGCGATCTCACCACAGAAACGGGCGAGCGGCGCTGCTTGCGCATATGCCCGCTGCCATGCAGCTTGGTGAATCACGCGGTTGCGTGACCCAAGCGGCCCGAACGGATCACATCTGGGCGCCATGACAACTACCAACGGCTTAGTGAGGCGGACATAGTCCAGCACTGTTCTCTGCACAGCTGGCACAGTCAGATCTGTGCCGGTGGTGATTTCGAAGTTGTGCCCTGCCTTGAGGCTGCGCCTGACGCACATCTGAGATGTAAGTCCTTCCCCGCCGCAAAGCTCCATGACTTCTATGCCCCATGTGGCATACGCAGGTGTTGCGAGGATCGTCATGAGCTCATCTAGGTCGACTGCGAGAACGGCGCCGACACGTGTGTCTGGAAGCTCAGTGCTCCCAAGATTGGACCATAATGCGGTCGCATTGAGTGGTGGCAGAGACTGGTTGACTGCAGTCCTTTCAGCATCACTGGTGGTTGAGTCTGCTTCAGAATGTAGCAGACTTGCTACGGCATGCATGCAAATGCTGCTGATGTCTTCACCGCAGTCATCGAAGTGCTGCTCAACTGCTTTGCGACGTTTCGCCTTGGCGGGCTCAGGCTGTCCCGAGGCTTTCTGCTGCTTTACGCGTTCACGTTGGAGAAGTTTCTGAGAAGTCGGATATGCTTCCGAAGATCCTGGGGGCGCTGCGGAGGCCAGGATTGGTTGCACAAAAGTTGCGGCGGGTTTGTCAGGTGATTCCTGACCTCCCTGCTCTTCCCTTAAGGAAGATTCACACACGTTGCAGTGACTACCTTGCTGGACGAGGCCGCACACTTTACATGCTACATACACGTCGGTGCTGAATGGGTCGGACTGTTCCTCGGACCCCAGAGACCTGCCTCCTGGAAGCGAGGCCTCTAAGGCGGGAATTATGCATGAAATGGCCTGCTCCTCGGCTTTGGCTCGCACTCGTGCACCACCGCATTCCTTTGCCATGTCAAGATCAAAAACATGCTCTGTGCCTGGGGAACATCGACACGGATGGGCCTGCAAAGGAAAGGTGGACAATACCCTGTGCTGCACTGAACTTGCCGGCGCTGATTGAAGTATCTTGGCTCCGGCGGCGCACCAGCGATGGTGTGTCACATGCATGCTATTGGTCTGTACAAGTTGTTGGATCGCAGGGTGCGTCCAAGCTGTGCGCCTAAGGGCAGATAGGCACACTGGGACTGACTGTCTTCGAGCCCATGACATTATCACAGAGAGGCGGTTGCACACCTGGTGGGTACGCTCCTGACCGGCAAATTGCCGGGCTTCCTGGAGATCAATCCACACTGCATCAAATTGGCCTTCCTTCAGGCGGTGGAGGACATCATGATAGCCGCTCCTTAACAGCTCCAGTGGCCTGAGACGTACTGGCTCCCAGCCTGCATTCATGAAGGCTGCGACCGTGGAGTGGCACAGTGTGATTAGCAACACACGTCGGAGTACCTGCGCAATTGCACTGCGACTCGTGGCTGCAAAGCGAACCCGCTTGGACTCTTGGTGCTGAGGACGAGCTGGAGCTCCAGCTCTTGCAGGCGCAGGTGGCTTAGGCTCACTTGCCGTGAGTGGGGGTTCACTTGGAGAGTGGGCCGTCATGGTGCACTGTGTTCCGGAAGCGGCTGCGGACGGGGGCAGTGAGAAGTTCAGGGCCTCCAGTTGCTGGAGATCTGAAGCGCGGGCCTTGTGATGTGACCCTGCCACATACGCAGCAAGGACTAGCCTGTCACCTTCTTTCCAAGGTTCAGTTGCATGCTTGTGCTTGGGATTGAAAAATACAGGGCACCCGGCCTTTAACGACACAAGCTGTCCCACGATGTCATGAACTGCACCTGCACGCTGCTGAGGATGCAATGCAATGTCACCTTGCACTGTGTCGCCTTGCCTAAGCTCCAGCCACAGATTGCCGCCTGCGCGCGGAAGCTTCAGGGGAAGCAGCGCATTCTGACCGATGTTGTACTTATCGGTATGAACAGGGGCTTGAATGTTGTAGCACACTGCCACAGATGTGAACTCGAAACTTGGGCATTTGTCTCGGACAATGCGGTTGAGAAGCTCAGTGAAAGCAGGGCGTCTGGTAGTGCATGTGGTGATACCGTGGGCACCACCTCGCACATACAGGCCTGTTACGGCTGAAGACCCACCAGGCGTCGCGCCGAACGCTCTGCACTCCTGGGAGCCTCGGCTTCGCGCTTCATGATTTTGAGCACGGCTGCGACTGCAGACTCAAAGTCGTAGTTCGCAAGCGCTGCTTGACACTCCTGCTCCTCTGCGGTTAGCTGGGACTCGGCAGTTGTGCTCAGGAACGCACCCTCAGAGCATTCGGCCTTTGGCTCGCTGAACAAATGGTGCTCACCCTGCGGGGCATCTGCAGACGCACGTGCGAACTCCGAACACGGGAGAAGAAGGTGGCCGCTCTGGGCGGACTCGAGGGCAAAGGTCTCGGATCCTGGCGGTAGTATGATAGTTGCTTCTCCCGAGCCTAGGAAATGAAGCTGCTTCTTGCCTGTGTCCAACAAGGCACGATTCTCTTGCAGCGTGCGAAGGCCAAGGAGGGCAGGGCATCCACTGCCTGCGACAACAGGGCTCGTAAAGGAGCCCGTGGCAACGCTTCCATCTGAGCGGCACATTGCAATGGGAAGCTGGCAGTCGTTACGGCATGTTTGCGCACCCCGGCCGACACCTCCCACCTGGAGTGGCACTGCTCGCTGAAGGAGTTGCGGCTGCTTCGCTAGCTGACTGGACGCCTCTGACAGCCACTCCTCGCCAACTAGGTTACCGTAGCTTCCAGGGTCTATGAGAAGACCGACTCTTCCGTCCTGAAGACGCACATTGGAATGGTACGCGGAAGCACCGGGCTCTGTCTCGGCATCACTGACCTGCGGAATGGGCCACCATGGGAAGGATTCCATGGGCGACAGAAATTCGTCTTGTTCATGATCTTCATGCTGCGATGGAGTTGCGAGGACTGCATTGTCATCTGACTCAGGCGTCCGCACGTCGGGCGACGGGGCTTGAGGTGTGGTGGTGAGCTGCTGCGACGCGCCTTCGACAGATGACTCCGTCGGCAAACGAGGGTAGTGCCATGTGCGCACCACTGGTCCATGCGCCCGGCAGTTCGGGCATCTCACTGCGATGCTTCCTTCGCCAGCTTCTTCGAAACCTGCATGCTGCGCGGCTTCTGCAAGGCAACTGCAATGAAACACATGACCACAAGTCAGACGGCACATGTGGTCTCCTGGGCCAAACTCATCCAGGCAGACAGTACATCGTGTGACATGTCCCTGGTATGCATTCGGCGAGGAGACAGCTCTGCTGCTGCCGCTGCTGCGTGCTGAGGAGAGAGAACTTCGGAGAGCATGCACCTGACCAAACACATTTACTGCCTGGGCTACTGCTGGAGGACTTGCGGGCCTGGCAGGCATTTCGGGCAAAGCAATAGTCCGCGTCTCTGGGACTGCTGCCATCATGGGAAAACCGGCTTGGGACATGAAGAGGCTAGGAACAGGCTGGCGCCTTTCCTCAGGATCGCTACTCCTACGCCTGCTAGAACCCTGAGAGCTCGATTGGATCTGCTGCATGCCCTGCCGCACAGCTGCAAACCAGGCAGGTGAGCTGCTGCCTAGCTGTGCATTTGCTGCTGCGGACGGCTCCACGGCCTGCGCCTGTGCGGCATTGCCAAACATGTGAGGCGGCTGCTGTGACGCAGCTTGCATGGAAATCGCAGGTGGCGGATTAGCTGCAATTTGGGCACCAATCATCTCACCAAAAGTCCTAGAAGAACCCACTACACCTACCCCTGGCATCAACCACGTACTTCCGGGATTGACGCGCATAGCCTGTGCTGGACTTGGGGCACCTTGCACCTCGGCATGGTCATGCTGCTGCATCCATTGCTGCCAAGGATCAGGATTGGTTTCCCAGGGATCTGGGGACAAGTGATGCACTGATGGCGCGCTTGGCTGCTGCGGCACACCTACCTCGCTTGGAGCGGCACTTCGGTGGGCAGCAACTGAGGGGTTTGACCGAGGGGACACTTGGGTCCACGAGCTATCGGTCTCGTACGCGGCAAAGTGCAGATTTGCGGGCTCAACGGTGAAGGTTGGGGGTGCCCTTTGAGGGAGAGCATTGGCAGAGGTCGTGTTGGAGGCAGCGGCTGCGGGCGCAGCGCTCGCAGCACCTCGGGGACATCGTGCCCTCAGGTGGTAACTGGAACCACAGGTGCTGCACTTCATTACCTCACCATCCCGTCCTACGGGGTTAAGCTTACGCCCAAACCCCTTACCAGAGCTCTTACCCCCTTTTCCCTTACCCTTAAAGTAGCTTGACTGCCGTAGCACCTCACCTATATTTAGATAGGCACCCTTATGCTTACTCTTCCCTTTGCCCTTGCCCTTCCTACGAAGGACCCTGCGCAAGGCCCTGACGGGCTTTCCTGTGAATCGCCTCCATCGCTTCTTTGCATGCTGATACTCACCAAACAAGTACTCATCGGCTTCAGCAGGACTCAGGCCTTGCAAGTCTTCAACAGGCATCGGCTCATCGTTGTCTGAACTCGTTGCGCTGTCTGTGTCCGAAGCGTCTTCCTGCACAGCTGCAAAAGCCCAGTCCATTGGGGCGCCAAGGCCGGCGCTGAAGGACATGTCTGCTCCTGCGTCCTGCCAGTTTGGACCTCCTGAGGTTGAAGATCCAGTGTCGGCCTCCGCAAGATAGGTCTGGTGCGACTGTCCTTGGGAACCATGCAAGCCAGAGGCGATGTTGTGCGGATGGTGCTCCACGATGTGCCCCATCCTGCGTAGGTGATGGCCCAATTGGGCCAATTCTGGTTCGTTGGCAGGGAGGCGCAGGCCGAACGGCTGTGTGAGTGTCTGGAACTGGGCAGAGGACACATTGCAAGCCCGCAAGAGAATCAAAGCTGCAGTCTCGGTGCTTACTGCACCTCCGCCATCACGTTGCGCCAATTGGCGAGTCACGTCGAAGCGACTGATCAATGCATCCACGGACTCTCCTTGGCGCCGACGAAAAGACAGCAGATCTGTGGCGGCCCTCAGCCTGTGCTCCTCGTCTAAAGGACCGAAGCGCATTGACAGTCCATGGAGGAGGTAGCTGACGGGGTCCAGTTGTACACCATTGACCATGCCACCATTGTAAACTTCCTGGGGCGAGATCGTCCGTGCCAGATCTCTGGCAGCTCCACCCAGTTGTGCAATGATCGCAGCACACTGCTGATGAGGGGCCAAGTCTGTCACAATAGCCCACAGCATCAAATCCTGCACCCACAATCTGAACGGCGTGGAAGACTCCATGGAAGGATCCCACCGAGGCGGTAGACGCATGTTTTGCTGTCCTTGACCACCAGGTGGATGAAACATGTGACAAATCATTGAGCTCATCGTCAGTGAAAGGATCGCAAGTACCGCCAAGGATATCGTGCGGGAATGATCGAGCCACCATGCTCCAATGACCTTGTCATGCGAAGTCAAGCGGCGCAACTCAACGTGTCCCACTACCTCGTCGGACCAAGTGCGGTTGGGACCTATGCCCAGAGATCCGTTGTCACCAAAGGACGCAGCTCTGAGCTGTCCTTGGGCAACAACAGAAACACTGAGCTGCCCGCAAAGGAGGGCCATGAACCCTGTAGTTCCTGGCGGCATCATCGCGCTGTTCCCTGGTTCGACACAGCGCTCCGCTACCAGCTAGAGTAAAATCGATCAAAGAAGGGCAGAACTCTTTCTCAATACTGACTACTCCTGAGCGCTCACAGCTGAAGCACGACTGCTGAATGAGTGGCCCTAAACGGACAACCCTAAACCCTAAACCCTAAACCCTAAACCCTTAGGTGCAACCCTTGCTCCTCGCACATGGCTAGCAGTTCGCTCTTGGTGAGCTTGCTTCGAAGTGTGGCGCCTCGGGCTTTAAGGGTCTTTCAAAATAAGGTTTAGGATTTAGGGTTTAGGGTTTAGGGTTTAGGGTTGATAAGGTTTAGGGTTTAGGGTTTAGGGTTTAAGGTCTGGGGTTTCGGGAACAGAGCTAAATCATAATGAGGATCCCTGCATCGTGTACGGTATATGCCTTGGGTATGTTCTGGCCCTCTGGGTCTGGCCCTCCAGGGCTACATGAACCTTTTAACTTGCGGGCGTGGAACCCCATCTTCTTGCAGTAACTGGGCCATAAGCCCCCTAAACCCTAAACCCTTTATAGGGTTCATGCAGTTCTCAACGAAGAAAATGCCCTCAGTCTAAGTCACAACCACAGTGGGCGCCCCGAGGCTTGGCTGACGTGGCCCTTGTCGCGAGCTAGAGAACGCCCCTTTCACACGGTTCATGTCACCCTAAACCCTAAACCCCAAACCCTAAACCCGAAACCCAAAACCCTAAAACCTCATTCTCTACGTCAAGGCTGGCAAGGAACCTTTTCTGATATGAGTCACCCTTGCTTGAAAGGCGATGTGCGTAGCCAACCCTTTTGTTGGAACCGAGACTCTGCGTAGCCAACCCTAAACCCTAGACCCTCATCAGGACACACAAGTTTCCGTACTGAGTTCGTCGCAGAACAGCACAGCTTCACAAAGGCAGCCGTAACCCACAAACCCTCAGAGTACCGGGGAAACTCCAAGCCCGTTCACTAGACTCCTCTTAGGAACCACAACCAACACAACGTGTTGAAGATCGCGTTGGGTCTTGCACTAACAAACGAACGCACGTGATGTCGGGAAAAAAACTAACGCTAAACCAAATAACCAACAGAAACTCCCTACTTGCTTGAAGCTGGACTTGCTGACTGCCCTCAACCCTCAACCCCAAACCCTAAACCCTGTCGAACCCTGAGGCGCGCTTCTGCACCGGCCGAGGCTCTTTTCGTCCAGTCCGAGGAACTGCGCAGCTCTTCGGGGGTTCCTCGCAGGGAGTCCCGGCCATCCCCCCCCCAAGAGAGCCCAAATCCCCTGAACTAAGGAATGTGCCTAGGGTTTAGGGTTTAGGGTTTAGGGTTTAGGGCTACTCTACAGAAAACTCCAGCAAGTTGGAACATGGTTTAAGGATGATTGAAGCTGGGATTCCCTTTGGTACACCTTTTTGGGGTATGGGAATAAGGATATTTCAACTTTTAGGAGTTTACTGCAAATGGCTCCTGGTTTAAGGCATCTTCCTTAATTAAGGGTTTAGGGTTTAGGGTTTAGGGCTCCGGGCCTGAAGTAAGGGATTTAGGGCTTTGGAGTTTCGGTTTTTGGGGGGCTTAGGGTTATAGGCTTTTTGGGGGTTTAGGATTCTAGGGTTGCTTCAGGTTTGGGTTTAGGGTTTAGGGTTCCGGCACCCGCATAGCTGGACGAACCACTCCGCAGGGATTCCAAAGGGTTTAGGGTTTGGGGTTTGGGGTTTGGGGTTTGGGGTTTGGGGTTGAGGAGTCAGTCTGTCAGTTTTGTCTAGCGATTGTCCCGGGGCTACTGCTTGGAAATGCTTCATCCTGAGCCTACCTCGGAGGGATTGCAACACCCGGCAAGGATTTCATAGTTATAGGGCTTGGGATTTTAGAGGCTTCTGGTTCGGTGACATAGGGTCGAGAGTTTTTACGTCAACCACGGCCATTGTCTGGATGTCGTGCTTGCGTGTTGCTTTCTTCCATGCTGCTTGTTGGTCGCAGTGGTGCTTCAAGTCGTTGAAGGGTTTAGGGCTTAGGGCAGCAGATTGCGGACGCGAGTCCGGCCAGAAGACGCGAGGAGCACTCGCTCCACTCCTGCGACAACTCTGGCACAAAGCCCCCCCGATGGACGACTTGCAGGTACATAGGTAGTGATAAGTAGGGTTAACAGTATGGTAACAAATACATGTAGCCCTACTTAAGGCTACTTAAGAAGCCTACTTCTCTAACTACACATGAACCTCCAAGTATAAAGAGATTTCGAAGCATACGATGTGCCCAAAGAGACCAATACCCCGTTAATTAAGGTTGAGGGTTCAGGGTTTTTTGCCACCCGCCTAGCCGACCCCTAGGGTTTAGGGTTTAGGGTTTAGGGTCTAGGGTTTAGGGTTTAGGGTTTAGGGTTTGAAATCATACCAAGGAGCCCTTGATCGTTTAAGGTATGTTGAGAAGTGATGCCTCGGTCGGAATCTCTGGGTGGCAAAGGGGATGAGTGCTTCCAGGGTCTGAGAACGGTTTAGGGTTTAGGGTTTAGGGTTTAGGGTTGAGGATTTAGGGTTTAGCTCACTTCTTGAGTCGCGCTAATGGGGGTTTAGGGTTGAGGGCTTAGGGATTTGGGTTGAGGGTTTAGGGGTCCGTATGTTGTTAAGTTCCATAACAAGGGGTCCCACCACATACAGGGGACAGAATATAGAGAACACACCATATGTCTGTTTTCTGGGCTTTGCTCCTGGCTTCCTGGTCATGAGTTCAGGGTTCAGGGTTCAGGGTTCAGGGTTCAGGGTTTAGGGGTTTAGGGTCATACAAGCGCTTTCATGGATGCACTTGGAGGTTCATGGGTAAGTTAGATTATCAATGGGGTTCAGGGTTTAGGGTTTCAGGGGTAGTTGTAAGTAGGGTCATGAGTACCCGAAATGGTGGGGGTTGTATAAGTATAGTCACCCTTCATACTTGTAACCCTACTTACAACCACCCATGAAAACCAACTTCTACCAAGCACAAAGCAGGACGAAGGGGGTCGAGCAGGATGGCCTCAGAAGCTCCAGGCTATTGCCTCTCATGCCATGGGCCCGGAGATAGAAGCAGCAGCATGCAGCCAACCCGGAAACCATCTAATATAGCTTACGGAATATGGTTCACATACATTTGTGCAATCATGCTCCCCCAAAAATCTAGTCTAAATACATCTAGGCCCCTAGAGTATACCGCTTGGTAGTGCAGCAAGTGGATGTTTTCGCGCCTGGCAGCCTCATCATCCCGACCCCGAAACCCCGGACCTGCCTGGCCCTAAGCCCTAAACCCTAATTAAACCCTAAACCCTAAACCCTAAAAGCCTCGGCCCCATCCGTCAGGGGGTCGCTGCTTCCTGAATCGCGGCCATCGCCCGCCATGCGCAGGCACGAGTCGGGGGTTCTTTGCAACCTGCTGTACCCGAAAGCCTCAGGGGGCCAAGAGGACGCTAACATTGAGGTCATTTAATTTAAGCTGCCACCATCCGAGTTCAAGCACAAGGGCCACAAATCTGTTTGGGGCTGGTTTGGTCACGGACCCAAGCAGGACATGGAGCACATCCACACAGAGACACAGCTGCCTTTCCCGATGTTTCTAAACATTGTTTGTGAGGGCGTGGGCTCTTGCTTATTGCATCAGCTGTCGGACTGATTCTCCCTACGGCCCAGAAAGACACGAGCTTAGAGAAGTAGCCACTTGTGCCAACTCTCGCCATCTGTGGGGCTTTCAGAACTCTTTGTTCTGGGTTTAGGGTTCATGGGGTTTAGTGTCATAGGGGCGCGAAACCTGCGAAGTCTCATGGTGCCCAACGCCCTCGTAACTGCTCTCTATGCTGAAAGCCAGCGTCGCAACGTCCACACAAAGTCTCATGCACCTAAAGAGCCCAACACCCCTGAATATAGCTTGAATCATATGAAGGAGCCCTTTAGTAGTTTAAGGTATCTTCCTTCATCAAGGAATATACCTCAAATCATACTAAGGAGCCCTTTACAGTCTAAGGTATAAACCCTAAACCCTAAACCCTAAACCCTAAACCCTAAACCCTAAACCCTAAACCCTAAACCCTACTCCTGAAATTAAGGGGGTGTTGAGCTCTCTGGGCAGGCTTCAGATGGGTTCAACCTTGAAGACCCCCGAAGCCCTAAACCTACTGGTACTAAGTAGGCAATGAAGAACTTATGCAACCTGGGGGTTTAGGGTTTAGGGTTTAGGGCTATACCCTATATGATGCCTTCCAGGTTTTCTTGGGGAGATAGAAGGTGCTTGATTCCCGCATTCATTTCTGAGACATTGCCTGATCAAACTCATAGCATACCGTCCTCTGACCTATCCAAAACCCTCCCGAGTCCTAATTCCACGGCCCTTAAACCCTAAACCCTAAACCTTAAAAAAATCTCTGACCCTAAACCCTACCCTAAACCTTAAACCCTGAGCCCGAAACCCTAAACCATAAACTCAAGACCAGGTTTAAGGCTGGCGTAAAGCTTACGGGATCTTATGGTTTAATGTACGGGTTCTTAGTAGGGAGTCATTCTTTACTTATATCCGCCAGAAAGAGCCTTCTAGGGTTTTTTTGCCACCCGCACAGACCCCTCTGGGATTCTAGGGTTTAGGCTTTTGGGGATTGCGTAGGGACCTTATGGCGTCTAAGGCGTTTAAGGCAGATTCCAGCATTAAAGAGGGTCTTATTGATGATTCAGCTTTCTGGGACGCAGGATTTGCAGGTACCTGCAGCTACGACGTCATATTGCCCTTCTAAGGAAGAGTATTCTTTCAGCAAACAGGAGTTACATGCACGGCAACCTGCTCTGCTCTTCCTGTGCGCAACCAAGCATGCATAATCCATTCCGTCGAGGAAAAATCTGACGCTTCTGGTCGGATGATGCGAACTCCTGACACCCAGCTTAATGGTAATAATAATAATAATATAAAAAGAACATAAACCTGACAATAAAAACGAGCAGAAGAAGAAAAAGCGGCTAGTTAGTAGCCCCGGCGTCCTCCTTTCATCACTCCAGCTGGGGTTGATGTACTGTTGGTTCGCAGGGAATGAGAGAACTAGGGGAATATACATACCCTTTAAGGGATTACATAGGGCCCTATATGTATATATATATATATACCCTTAAGGGATTACATAGGGTACCTCATTCCCCCCAGTCCTTGCTAAGCAACAGTAAGTTTACCGAACAGCGACTCGGGACACCGAATTTTGGGACCTGAATAATTGGAATAGGGTTTCGAGGGGTATTCTAGTATAATTACAAAGGGACCATAGGGGAATATGTGTAGTAATTATTCCGACCCCTATAGTACGGAGCCTGAACTCCAAACTCTTGGTGTCATCGCGCCAGATTAAACAAGTCGGAGGTCTCCATTCCTAATCAACCCCAGCTAAACCCGAAACCCTGAAAATCCTGTTCCTTCTAGTTAAGAGTGCGTTTTTCCTAAAAACTCACTTCTCCCATTGTGTCAGGGGCTCATGTCGGATCCAAGGCCATCTGTACAGCATCGGCCTCAGGGCAGACACGCACCCGCTGGGCCACTGCGCAGAGCAAGGCCAAGAGACCGCCCCCAAAGAGCTCTTAGTACTCCTTACTTGAGGAGGTATACCCTTGAATACATACTAAGGATCCCTTTTTAAAGGTTTTAAGGGTGGATATGCCTTAAAACATACGATAAGGTTACTAAGGACCCCTACTATGAATTTCAGGGATCTTCCTTGATTAGAAGGGGTATTGGAGTCCCTCACCATGCATATCGGCTGCATCCCAAGGAGCGCGTGTGTAAAAAGCTCTGCTGCTTCGAGGCAGAGCTCTGTGTGCTGCTCTGACGCAGAACGTGGGGGCTCTCTGAGGTTTAGGGTTTAGGGTTTCGGGTTTAGGGTTTAGGGTTTAGGACTTTGGGGCTTAGGGTTTAGGACTTTGGGGCTTTGGGGGAAAAGGGTTTGGGATTTTGGGGCTTAGGGTTTAGTGCCTTACAGGAAACCTGCCCCACCACCAGTGTGACAACGTGTTGTCTGCATAGGCTGTTGAATGCACATGGGTGGTCTGAATTGCAAGCGTTCTTGTTTTTTGTGGGGGGGGGGGGGTAACCAAAAGAGCCCACTACCCCGTTAACTACGGGATATTCCTACGGCGTATAGGGACCATTACAATGACATAAGTATATTCCTTAAGCACGGGGTTTTAAGGGCTCTTTGGGTACCAAAGTGGGCCCTTGATTTAGATCGACTTCCCATGTCCTTTTGTGCTTCGGAGTGCCCTTAGATCCTACACCCGAAGATCATCGAAGCTTTCCAAAGGTAGAGCTCCGTTTCCTAAACCGTGAGCCCTAAACCCCTGAAAACGCTGAGCTTCTCGGCCCTCTAAGAGGCCCCTCCCGGTAGTACTCAGACTGGGACTCCAATACCCCTGACTTAAGAAATATTCCTTAAATTATGCGAGGGTTCCTTATATGGTTTAAGGATTATTCTTGTTATAAGTCTGGGTTGAGAAGTCAAAACAGGAATCCTGACACGCTTTGAGGAAGACTGCGTAATTGAAGGGCGATTGTAGAATTTCTTGGACACAAACCCAAAACCCGAAACCACGGCAAACCTATGGCCGCGGAGTCTACAGCTGGATGAGGTCCCAAAGACAAAAAGCTAAGTCGTTGCGTTCTTGAAGGGGGATTTGCAGTACCCACAAAACCTTGAGGGGCTCCAAGGACTCGAACTTTCAAGGAGACCATGGCTTTGTATGGTTTTCGGAGAAATTCGAGCTGAGAAGTTTAGGGCTTAGTGTTTATCCCAAACGCTCCCACCTTCTGCCCCGTGAGCTGCGGTGGTCCTACATGTCTATCTACTGGCAGCTTCAGGTGCGATTGAGCCGATCGGAGAGCCCAATAGCCCCCCCCCCCCCCCATCCTCATCCTCATCCTCATCCTCATCATCATCATCATCATCATCAGGGAAGATGTATATGGCTTTCTGCGTGGAGGTATACCTATATTCCGATGTCCCTTTTGCGTATGCATACTTATGTATGGGGGGGCTGATCCAACTTATGGGCACATCTTCGGTACTCCAAAATCTGCTGTAGCGAGACCCCGCAACCTTTCCTTGAGCAGCCCGTGCGGCTTCGTATAGGGGGCTTAATAATTAGAAGAGGGTTTGTGGAGTTATTGTAGTATAACCATAAAGGGACCATAAGGGAATACCAGTAGCAATTATTCCGACCCCTATATTAGGAATCTAGGAGCCCGCACACATGCAGGTACATTGCACAAGAAGTGAAGCTAATGCAGCACCACATCACGGATGCCAATGGCTCACATCCTTGATCAACCCCGAGAAGTGCATGTATTGGATGCACTGATAGAAGCTCCATGGGTAGTTCTTCTCAGTTAGGGTCCCTTTTTGGTTCCCTATGTAGTATGGAATCTCATAAACAGGAAACTACATCATATGGCTGATTCTGACTTCAGGTGTGGTAGGGCAACTAAAGTTCATCTTTGGGCTTTCAGGGGCTTAGGGTTTCGGGCTTTCAGGGCCCTAAACCCTAAACCCTAAACCCTGAACCCTGAACCCTAAACCCTAAACCGTGGCCCCCTGAATAGAAGGGCTCCCTGCCCCAAAAAGGCTAATGTTCGTTGCCAGGGTCTCTCCTGGACTCGCCTTACTTAGGACCTTTAACTCTTTCATGTTGGGTTTGGATCAACAAGTCTCTGCTCTCTCAAAAGGCGACCTTGTGTTCTCTTTAAGAGGTCTAGCTTAAGTAGGCTCGACCCGCGCGCCTGAAGCTCGCCACTTTTTTGGATGAAGTCTATACGTGTGAGCTCCCACTCAGTGGGAGCTCAGGGGGTAAGGTACAAGAGTTGGCCTGAACAGGGATTGCGGAAACAAGACCCAGATTCAAGGGACCAAAGGAGGGACCCTTATCAGCCTTATCAGGGACCTTTCAGGGTTTCTTTCGGGGCTACTTAGGCACATGGGGCCCCTCCTTCTACCCCTTTAAGAGATGCCAGAACCTGAGAAACTGACTACATCTTAGGCTGCTCTTGCCTTCTTTTTAAAGTCGGCTTCTAGGAGGAAAGGGCTTAGGGCTCAGAGCTTAGGGCCTAGGGTTTAGGGTTTAGGGTTTAGGGTTTGACATATAAACTAGCTAAGGGTGCCTTAGGGATCTTTTATGGTGAGCCAATGCCTACTCCTGAGCCAAGGCCGCCAAGGCCCGTTCAACCACGGACTTATCCTAACCCTGAACTCGAAACCCCGTTTGGGGTTTAGATTTTAGGGTTCAGGTTTTAGGGTTCAGGGCTCAAATAGGGTATCTTAGGGTTTTTTTTGCCACCCGCCTCGCAGACCCCCTCTGGGATCACTCCGACTGTTCCCTTGTGGGTGTAGGGTTTAGGGTCTACAGGCTTAGGGTTTTTGCAGGTTCATTGGGTTTGGGGCTTGGGACTGAGTATAGCCTTTGCAGAATGGGGCGAAAAAATGCCAATCCAGGGAACGCTCAACTTGAGCCATTCAACAAAGCGATGTGGGGGTTTCCTGAAATGGGCTTTATGGTTTAGGGTTTAGGGTTTAGGGCTGTTTTTGGGGCGCGGGCCCCCGATGCTTTTTTGCCTAAGAGCCTTTTGGGACAAGAGTGCCCCTGCATTTGGGAAAGCCCGCATGTAGACCCTGAAGCCTCAACACCCCAAATCACCAGAGACATTCTAAAAGCATCTAAAAGCCATCTACCAGGGTTTGGGGTTTAGGGCCTAGACCGTAAAACCTAAACAACCCCCAGCCACCCTAAACCTTTTCTGAAACCGGGCTCTCCCCAACCCTATCAGCCCCCCCAAGCCCTACACTGGAAGCCTCAACCAAAACCCTTGCTCGGGATTTCGGCCCTGCCCCTCCTCGCAGGAGCTTCTCAGGTCCTTGCCCAAGAATCTGAGTTCTAGAGTTGAGGGTACACTAGCTGGGTACCTTGAAGACACAGGGCACCTGGACAGAATTCCGCGTAAGGATTGTTCCTGAAGGGAAGACATCACGGGAACTTCCCAACACCCTAATGACCCTAGTTCCTCCAGCAACCCTTATTCAAGCCTAAAAGTTGAACACCCGCGATTTAAGAGGGGGGTATGTAACCCAAGGTTCCCGAATACTCCCCACTACTCCCTCAGGCTCCCTAAGCTTTTTCAAGCTATTCTAGGTACCTATCCCCCCCCCATGAGCCCCCCTCCCTTAAGGACTCTTGAAGTAACTTAACCCCTAAAAAACCCTAAAGGCCGGGGGTTTGGCAGGGGGGGGAAGTTTAGTTTGCTTCCGGTCTCGTGCTTGTCGCCGGGATGCGGGCAACATGGGTTTGGGGTCTATAAGGTTTAGTTTTTAGGTTAGGGGATAGGATAAGGGGGACCCTTGGGGATATGGACCCTCTGAATAAGGTCCCTGCTTAAGAGAGCCAGAAGAGGGTTCAGAAGGGGTTCCCTTTTAAGGGTCCCCCTTATCCTACCTAGGATAGGTTTAAAGGGTGTGGCGCTCAAGGCAAAAATACCAGATGTTGTCGAGTCAGATCCGACAGGCCGATTCTCAAACACATTCTTGCAGTCCATGCTTGTCAACTGCGACCGGTCATACTTTTTTTATCTAAAGAGCTCGGAATCACGCTCGCCAATGAGCTGCAACCAGCGAAGGCCAGTGCGCTAATCCGAGTGGCCGGATTCAGGATCGTCACGCTCGTCAGAGAGCTGCAGTGTCCAAAAGCCAGAGTGTCAATCTGAGTGACAGAGTGTGGGATCGTCACGCTCTCCAAAGACCTGCATGCCGCGAAGGCAGACTCCCCAATCCGAGTGACAGAGTTCGAGATCGACACGCTCGTCAAAGAGCTGCATCCAGCGAAAGCATAATCTTCAATCTGAGCGACAGAGTTTGGGATCGTCACGTTCGCCAAAACGCTGCATCCAGCGAAAGCAGAATTTTCAATCCGAGTGACGGAGTTGGGGATCGTCACACCCGTCAAAGCGCTGCATGCTTCGAAGGAAGACTCAGCAATCTGCTTGACCGAGTTCGGGATCGTAACGCTCGTCAAGGAGCTGCATCCTGAAAAGGCAGACTGCCAAATGTGAGTGACAGAGTTTGGGATCGACACGCTCGTCAAAGAGATGCAATGTGCAAAAGCACACGTGGCAATCTCAGTGACGGAGTTCGGGATCGTCACGCTCGCCAAAGACCTGCATGCTGCGAAGGCAGACTCCCCAATCCGAGTGACAGAGTTCGGGATCGACACGCTCGTCAAAGAGCTGCATCTAGCGAAAGCTGAATCTTCAATCTGAGCGACAGAGTTTGGGATCGTCATGCTTGCCAAAAGACTGCATCCAGCGAAAGCAGAATGCCCAATCCGAGTGACAGAGTTCGGGATCGTCACGCTCGCCAAAGCGCTGCATAATTCGAAGGAAGACTGCGCAATCTGCTTGACAGAGTTCGGGATCGTGACGCTCGTCAAAGAGCTGCACCCTAAAAAAGCACACTGCCCAATCTGATTCACAGAGTTTGGGAGCGACACGCTCGTCAAAGAGATGGACTGCGCAAATGCACACGTAGCAATCTCAGTGACGGAGTTCGGGATCGACACGCTCGTCAAAGAGCTGCATGATTCGAAGGCAGACTCTCCAATCTGAGTGACAGAGTGCGGAATCGCCAGGCTCGCCAAAGCGTGGCATCCTGAAAAAGCAGACTCGCCAATCCGAGTGACAGAGTTTGGGATCGACACGCATCTCAAATTCCCGCACCCTTGAAAGGCAGACTCCTCAACCTGTGTGACACAGTTGGGGATCGCCACGCTCGTCAAAGAGCTGCAACCTGCGAAGGCAAGCTCTCCAATCTGAGTGACAGAGTTTGGGATCGCCACGCTCCTCAAAGAGCGGCAGCGTTCGAAAGCAGAATCTTCAATGTGAGCGACAGAGTTTGGGATCGTCACGCTCGTCAAAGACCTGCATCCGCGGAAAGCACCAGAGCCAATCGCAGTCACAGAGTTCGGTATGGTGGCACCCGCCACGGCGACACATCCACGGAAGGCCCGCGATTCTACTTCTTCTTGGCCCTCTGGGATGTTGAGCCATACTTGGGCCTCCCCTGATTCGAGGTCATAGTCTGACTCGCCTTTGGTGGCGCATTCGGCGATCCTTTGGCGAAACACCACATTCACGCCAGCTTCTGGAGAAACCCCCGCCTCCTGTAGCGTCCCGCCCTCGTCACTCAACACTCTGCTTCCGATCATCATCTCCACTGAGGTGATCTTTCTGTCCAGCTCATTGTCGCAGTTCCAAGCTGCCAGCCTCTCTCTGAACTCTCTGACGGTCGTCTCCTTTGAAGCTTCCAGTATTGCAGCTTTCCCACCTCGCGGGGTCTCGAAAATTGTCTAGGCGGTTCCCAGAGACTCCCATACACCTTAATTAAGGGATATTCCTGAAAGCATACAAGGAACCCTAGTGCATTTTAAGGAATATTCTTAATTGAGGGGTATTGAAGTCTCTGGGTTCCTAGTCAAGGTCCTAGTCTTATTGCCGTGTTCTGATTCTCCCTATCAGCTATTCAAGAACCCGAGGATGACGTATAGTGTAGGATGACAGCTTTGCATTCTGCGCTACTACAACTTGATAATATTGAACTGCAGGACCGCACTAGGGGGGTTTAGGGTTTAGGGTTTCGACTTTAGGGTTTAGGGTTTCGGGTTTCGACTTTAGGGCTTAGGGGAACAGATCCAGATTTGTTTACAAAACTTGGAGCTCGAGCGCAGGAATGGTGCAGCATGTGCAGCATGGAGAAGTAAAGGGGGTGCCACACAGGAGTTGGTAGGGGCCTGCCTTATCCTAAACCCGAAACCCTAAACCCTAAACCCTGAAATTCAGGCTCGGAAGTCGGCAAAGAACATTGTTCAGACCTTTTTTTGGGGGTTCAGGGCTGCGGCACCTACGGAGTACACGTGAACCCTCTTCCAAAGGCCTCAGGAAGACATGAAAACCCCAGAAGCGCCAAGAATCTCAGAGTGGCAAAGAAGTCCAAAAGTCTGCACAGAAAAGGAAGATTCCCCGAAACCATATTAAGGAACCCTACACTATAAGTTAAGGGATGCTCCTTAAATTCAGGGGCATTGGAGTCCTGGGACACACTTTGGAGCCCTACACTCCCTAAATCCGAGTCGCTCAGGAGTCGAACGGGGACCCTCATCATCCCAGCATCCATGGCACAGCAGCTGGGAAAGAGCGGAGCTGGTCAAAGGCTGCGGGGTCTAGAATCGACCTAGAAATTTACCTGCTGGCTCCTAGGTACCTAATAAATTCCCTCATTCCCTATACTAGCCCTAAACCCTAAACCCTAAACCCTACAAAAACCGATAAGTTTGGGGCTTCGGCCCATTCGGGAAGAAGTGGGCCCTGGCCAACCCCGGAGCATTTCCAGACCTCCGGTCGTCACAAGCGCTCCATGCATCTTTCGGGGGGAAGATTCACTGAACAACTCATCCCCCTCCCAAAAAATAGCCCTAAACCCTAAACCCTAAACCCTAAACCCTAAAAACCCTATTTTGGGCTCCCTGTGCCACCTTGAGCCCCAGAAGTAGCCCGGGAAGGGTCCTGGCCAGCAGCCGTGGCGGCCTGGTGCGCAACGACTTTTCTCTTGGGTGCGTGTGGGGGTTTAGGGTTTAGGGTTTAGGGTTTAGGGTTTAGGGTTTAGGGTTTAGGAATTTCTCAAACTTCCACGCGCCTGCCCCTAACTAAACCCTGCAAGAACCCTACACCATAACATAAAATGACTCCAAAGCCCTTTTGATGAAACCCTAAGTCCTAACACTCGAGAACCAAACCATTGCACAGTAAACCCTTTTGCGGCAGGCTCGAACCCTGGACTCCCTAAACCCTAAACCGTAACCCCTAAGCCCTAACCCCTAAACCCTAACCCTAAACCCTAAACCCTAAACCCTAAGCCCTAAACCGATTTCGGCCCCGCCCCTCCTCGCAGGAGCTTTCTCAGGTCCTCGCGCCAGAAGCTGAGTTGCGGACTGGGAGGCTGGGGGTGAACCCTAAACCCTAAACCCTGAACCCTAAACCCTAAACCCTAAACCCTAATTTATTCGCTCACACTCGGACAAGCAAAAGTGGGGGCTCAACTTCTTGCCAAATTCTTGCCCCTACCTCCCCCCCCAAAAAAATATCAGGATAATCGGTGGGGTTAGGGTTCAGGGTTCAGGATTTATTGGGGTTTATGGGGTTTATGGGTTCAGGGTTCAGGGGTAGGACGCCCAATCGCCAACCCAACACGAAGACCAGGCACCACCTGTAAGCAGCGAACCTCACAACTGGTCAGTCCCATGCCCCAATTGACTAGGCATAAAGCTTAAACCCTAGCCAGGATTTCGGGTGCATGGAAGGCTTTGGATTTATAAGGCCCACACACACACACACACACACACACGCACACCTCAAAAAGACACACACACACACACACATCAAAACACATATCGAAACACGTGCCCCCGAAGCTGTGACCACAGTCAGGTACTTAAAGATACAAGGCTCCTGGGCAGAATTCCAATCAAAGACGTGGGAAGAACCCTAAACCCTATAACACTAGAGCGTAAGCCTAAACCCTAAACCCTAAAGCCTAAACCCTAAACGCTAAAACCCTAAGCCCTAAGCCCTAAACCCTAAACCCTAACCCTAAGCCCAAAAGCCCGGTTTGGCAGAACCCTGAAAGACTGTGTCTGGGCAAAACGTCACTGCGGCTCGCAGGCTGAATCGCCGACTGAAAGTGGGTTTGGGGTTTTTTGGGGGGTAGTGTTTGGGGTTCAGGGTTCAAGGGCTTTTTGGGGCTAGTGTTTAGGGTTCAGGGTTCAAGGGCTTTTTCGGGGTAGCGTTTGTACTGTTTAGGGTTGAGGGTTTACGGGTACATCCCCAGATGTTGCCTTTTCAAGTCTAGGAGTCACTGTCCACTAGCCTCGTCCGGACATGAGGTCCTGTACTCTGGGATGTCCACGCGTGTCAACGGCCTCAGCGACCGGCTCAATTTCAGCTAAAGAGTTCGGCATCGTCACGCTCGTCAAAGACCTGCATCCAGCGAACGCGTGCTTGCTCATCTGAGTGGCAGGGTTCAAAATCGTCACGCTCGTCAAAGCGCTGCATCCAGAGAAAGCATAATGTTCAATCTCCGCGATAGAGTTCGGTATTGTCATGCTCGTCAAAGAGCTACAATCTGCAAAAGCATATGTGCCAATCTCAGTGACGGAGTTCGAAACCGTCACGCTCCTCAACGAGCTGCATCCAGCGAATGCGTGTGGGCGTATCCGAGTGACGGAGTCCGGAACCGTCATGCTCGTCAAAGAGCTGCATCCACAGAAAACATAATCTTCAATCTGAGTGATAGAGTTCGGCATCGTCACGCTCGTCAAAGAGCTGCAACCATCGAATGCATGTCGGCGAATCCGAGTGACGGAGTCCGGAACCGTCATGCTCGTCAAAGAGCTGCATCCATGGAAAGCATAATTTTCAATCTGAGTGATAGAGTTCGGCATCGTCACGCTCGTCAAAGAACTGCAACCATCGAATGCATGTGGGCTGATCTGAGTGACAGAGTTCGGAACCGTCACGCTCGTCAAAGAGCTGCAATGTGCAAAAACACATCCGCCAATCTCAGTGACGGAGTTCGGTATGGTCACGCTCGCCAAAGACCCGCATCCATGGAATGCACCAGAGCCAATCGCAGTCACAGAGTTCGGTATGGTGGCACCCGCCACGGCGACACATCCACGGAAGGCCCGCGATTCTACTTCTTCTTGACCTTCTGGGATGTTGAGCCACACTTGGGTCTCCTCGGATTCGAGGTCATAGTCTGACTCGCCTTTGGTGGCGCATTCCGCGATCCTTTGGCGAAACACCACGTGCACGCCAGCTTCTGGAGAAACCCCCGCCTCCTGTAGCGTCCCGCCCTCGTCACTCAACACTCTGCTTCCGATCATCATCTCCACTGAGGTGAGCTTTCTGTCCAGCTCATTGCCGGAGTTCCAAGCTGCCAGCCTCTCTCTGAACTCTCTGACGGTCGTCTCCTTCGAAGCTTCCAGTATTGCAGCTTTCCCACCTCACGACTCAACTACTTTCTGCAGATCCAGCAAAAAACAACATATGGGAGCTCGAGCGCAGGAAGGATTGGTATAGCAGGGAGACTTCAAGGGGTGCTGGGAGCTCATAGAACTTGTGGCTTTCAGATAGGCAAGAGGCGATGTTCAGACCTTTGACTAGTAGACCCAGAAGCAACCTAGAAATAAAAAGGGTGCCCTTTTTGGTTTTGACGGGAGTATAAGGGAACCCCAAGCCCTAAACCCTAAACCCTACACCCTAAACCCTACAACCCTAAACCGGTTCAGGGCTACGGCGTCTGCGGAGTACGCAATGCAAAGCCCTACTCCAAGACCATCTAAAACATCTCAGAGAGGCAAAGAACTCCCAATCCTGCACCCCTCAAACCCTTGAGAGCCCCCTACATTCCCTAAATCTGAAAGGTTTAGGGTTTAGAGTTTAGGGTTTAGGGGTTCGGGGTTAGGCGTAAGTCCGAGTCGCTCAGGAGTCGAACGGGGACCCTCATCATCCCAGCATCCATGGCACAACAGGAGCTGGGAAAGAGCGGAGCTGGTCAAAGGCTGCGGAGTTTGTAGTTTAGGGGGCTTAGGTCCACTCAGGAAGGAACCGTGGTGCCTTAATAGCCCTCAACCCAAATCAATTCAAGAGTGCGGACCTCAGGTCGTAGTAAAGGCCCCACATATAAGATTCCCAACCACCTCTCAACGAAAAATGACCCCACCGGGTAAACCCTAAACCCTGAACCCTGAACCCTGAACCCTAAACCCTAAACCCTAAACCCTAAACCCTAAACCCTAAACCCTACACCCTAAACCCTGACCCAATTTTATCCTATTGTGGGCTCCCGGTGCCACCTTAACGCCCCTCAACTTTCTTGTTCAGCCCTGCAAGGGTCCTGGCCAGCAGCCGTGGCGGCCTGGGGGCTTGTCTTTGGTGGGTATAGGGTTCAGGGTTTATAGGGCTTATTGTTTATAGGGTTTCGGGCTTGGGGGTTTCGGGTTTAGGGTAGAGGGTTATCTTTGGTGGGCTTATGGGGCTCTTTGGCTTTCGGGTTCGGGTGTAGATGGAGTTGTACCTTGCACCTTTCTTGAACCCAAACTCTGCTCGATCAGCTGGGAAGCAACATCTTGCCAGATTTCAAGCCTAAACCCTCAACCCTAAACCCTAAGCTCTTGGGGTACTGACGTGGTCACTTCACATAGGCCCTAAAGAGGGGGCCCCTTGTATGCCCCTTATACACCCTATACAACCCAAGGGCCCATACATCAGAACCCTTTAACGGAGGTGCACATGATGTGTCGCACTACTGTGCAGCAAAATGCGGTCATCATGTCCATATACGGCAACTAAGGAAAATACCCTGCATCATAGGTGGAAATAGGTATGGAGATTGTGTTGAACTTCGGTGGATCGCGCCCCACGGAGAGTGAGTGGGTATCTTGGGTGATGCAGGCGAAAGCTATCGAGAGCTGTACTATTGATTCCTTTCCCCTAATACTAACCCCCCCGCTCCCCCCCCGTAAATCTAAATTTCGCTTCGGCCGGAAAATATGTAAAACTACCCTAAACCCTAAATCCTAAACTTGGTTTAGGGTTTAGGCCGGTTACGCGAACCCTTTTTCCCTAAACCCAGAAGGCTGAGCTCCGGGGCTGCAGCCTCTCAAGACCCTCTGAGCCCCAAACCCTGCTTGAATTATAGGGTTCTTAGGAAGTTTAGGGTTTAGGGTTTGCTGTGATAGGGCGTAGATGCTGTGAAGGTTAGGTTTTGGAACAAGCTCGAAAGCTTCGTGAGGCGCGAAGGGCAGCTTTGGCCCGATTGTGGAAGGCCATCTAACATTTTTCTCCCACCCCACGCCGTCCGAGGCGGCACAGCCACCCAAACCTATTCCTTTTGGGGTTAAGGCCTAAACTCAAGCCAACTGCTTACTTTCCATAAAACTTCTTCATTCCGTCACGGTGGTCGCCAGTTCAGGTTCACAAAAAAAGCCACAGGCAGACAGGCCAGGCACCCAGGCAGGCCCGGGGTTGAGGGGGCCCGACCCCCGGAACCCCAGAGGGGCCAGCGGGCCTCGAAGTGTCTAGACAGGCACGACCCCCCACTGAAAAGGTCGTCAGGCTCATGACCTGAGGGTTTATTATAAGGAACACCGGGCCCATCATGGGTGCTACAGACCCCATGCTGTGGGAGGCGGGCAAGCGACCTGGGTCGGCCTAGGCCCTGAGTTTAGGGTTAGGGTTTAGGGAAATTCAAGCTTCCCTAATGCGCCCCACTGCGCCCTACTGCTCCTTAAGGTTCCCTAACGATCTTAGGGTTTCCAAGCTACCTGCGCCCGATGAACCCCCTCCCTTGAGAACCCCAAGATTGAAGAAGCCCGACTTCATAAAGGCTCAACTCAAGGGAAGATGCTTTAGTATTGGGCTGGGTGCCGCCGGAGGGGGATTTAATACAATCAGGTTGAGTTTTTTTCGGGGGAAAGGGATCACAATCAAAAAACAACCCATCGGGGACGGAAGGAGATGAGATTGGCACAACAAATCGAGCCCTTGTCCCTTGGTTCGTAGTACCGAATGAGGGAATTAGGGCCCTATATATACCCTTTAAGGGATTACATAGGGTACCTCACAGGGTTTCGGGTTTAGGCTTCAGGGCTCAGGGTCCCCAAACCTTGAACCCTAAAACCCTAAACCGTCCCAAACCCTAAAACCTAAACCCTAAACCCTAAAACCCTAAAATTTAACCCTAATCCACTGTTGAGCCCCCCGGCGTGGTGGTCTGCCCGGAGGACAGGGAGGCAAAGGTCGATGCCGTGCTGAAGGACGCGCCTGCACTTAGTTGTCCAGTACCTACGGGTTTTAAAGGTTAACCTCTGGGATTCTAAGGGGAATATATTACCCCAAAAAGGTCAAAGGTTACCTACTCTACTACTAAGTGCATCTCCGGCGTCGTATGATGAGGGGCTTGGCGGGTTGAAAACTTAGGTTTAGGAGGGTTTAGGGTTTAGGAGGCGGTTCTCTGCCTCCGGTTCGTCTTGGTAGGGCTTAGGGTTTGGGGTGTGAGGGTTTAGGTCTTGTTGCAACATGCAAACTCTCATGATGCCATGTGCGGCTATCCCAGTCCAATCCCAACACCTGAATCGAGCCACGGTTTAGGGTTTAGGCTTTAGGGTGCAGGGTTTGGGTAGTCTAGGGCTTCTACCCGGAGCTCCAAAATGAGCTTGCAAAGGTTTAGGGTTTAGGGTTTAGGGATTCCTGCTAAGAGGCGGCTTGCGTGAGGACGCTGCTGTAGAGATTTGGGCTCCTCTGTAAGCATCTGGCCCAGGCTGCAGGCCAGAAGCCCTGTGACATTGAAATCCTTCCTAAACCCTAAACCCTAAACCCTGAACCCTAAACCCTAAACCCTAAACCCTTTTGCAACTGGGGAAGCCCGAAGCCATAAACCGTCTGCTTTTGTATCCTAGGAATAAGAAGATTCGTGTTTAGGGTTTAGGTTTAGGGAGATGGAGCTTAAGGTTCAGGGATTAGGGCCACTAGGGCAACAGGAGAGCACCATCATTTCCTGCCAGAGCTCCTTGAGACTTTGCGAAGGCCAGTACCAGAGATCCAGAGAGCGCGACACGACTTAATTGAGGAAAACGCATGAACCCACGTAGGCATCCTCTTGAATCCCTAAGCCCTGCAGACCCTAATTTAGGGGTCGCGGGTTCTGTAAATGCTAAACCCTTTTTTGCATCAAGGTCCTCAAACACTAAACCCTAAACCCTAAACCTCTGAGTCCGAATGGTAAAGTCCGAAGCCTGTCCCACTGACCGTCAGCAGGCCCTTGGGCGGCTGCAGCTGGAAAGAGCTGCGGCTGGCCTGGCAAACGGACACCCTACACCCTACACCCTACACCCTACACCCTACACCCTACACCCTAAACCCTAAACCCTAAACCTAAACCCTACACCCTAAACCCAGGTTTGGGCTTAGCGTCCCCAAACCCAAAAACCCTCAGAAGGGACCTTAGAGACTCAGGAAGCGTCTTCAATTCAGGAATAGAGCTTCGGAATCGACCTTAAATCATACGAAGGATGCCTATATGAAGCAGGGTTTATATTACTGTTTTTGGTGTGTGCATGTAAGATTCCCTTTTATATTACTGTTTTTGGTGAGTGTATATAAGATTCCCTTTTATATTACTGTTTTTGGTGGGTGTATATATTTTGTGTCCTTTTGGGGATACAAGAAATAGATACCCTACTTCATATAGTTTAAGGATGTTTAAGGCATCCGTATTCCACAGTGGCTTTGGGCTCTCTGGGTTCGACCTGAAGGCCGAATACTCACTTACTACTTCCCCCGGTCCTTCAAGTAAAGGAGGTTAGGGTTTAGGGTTTAGGGTTTAGGGTTTAGGGTTTAGGGTTTAGGGTTTAGGGTTTAGGGTTTAGGGTTTAGCGTTTAGGGTTTAGGGTTTAGGGTTTAGGGGGTTTCGGACCCTTGCGTCTCTGCGCCCGAAACCCTGAGGCCTTGGACACCAAAGGTTTGCCCCATGGCCTAAACCCTCCACCCTGAGCCCTGAACCCTAAACGACCACGCTCTTGAGGCTGTAAGTGCTTGGCAAGGGTTGGGTGGTGCAGGATGTGAGGGTAAAAGGCCTTGAGGGTGCAAAGAAATCATGGGGTTCAGGGTATTAAGCTTAAACCCTAAACCCTAAACCCTAATTTAGGGTTAAGGGGGAGGGGGAGGGGCGCAAGGGGCTGAGGATGCAAAGAGGTGATAGGGTTCAGGGATCTTTTCATGGCTTCCCCTACTACCCACCTCCCTCCTACCCCAATAGGTTCCACCCCTAAATAGCCTGAATTAAGCATATAATTGCCCCTAAAGAGCCTTATGTGGGGGGGGGGGGGGGGGGGAACCTAGGGGGTAGTATAGAGGGGAGTAGTAGGGAATCCATGGTCTTTCGGTTTAGTTTAGGTGATCGGCCTAGAGACCGGCAAGCTCATTGACCCAAAACCATCCGGGTGCCCCTGTACTACCCCCATAAACCTTATAATCCCTAAACCCTAACCCCCAGCCCTAAACCCTAAACCCTAGTCCTAAACTGTAAACCGTAAACCTTAAACGCTCCCCTGAAACCTTCCTTGGATCCCCCCCCCCCCTCCCCTGAAACGCCTGAAACGCCGAGTCAAGTTAGCAGAAATGATGTTTCATTCACACGGAAAGGGATTCCCACCCAACCCCTAAACCCTAACTCTATTCGGACTTGTCAAGTTGTGGTTAGAGGGTTCAGGGTTTAGGGTTTAGGGCTAGGGTTTAGGGGTAGGGTTTAGGGTTTAGGGCTTAGGGCTAGGGTTTAGGGCTAGGGTTTAGCGAGCCCCTTGAGGTCTCCTGGGCGGCTCCCATGGCCAGGGGGTGCGGATCTGCCGGGCCGTTGGCGCGAGCAGCCACCACCTTGCGAGTGTTTAGGGTTTAGGGCTTGGGGTTTAGGGTTTAGGGTTTAGGGTTTAGGGTTTAGGGTTAGGGTTTACGGTCCTGGGTCGT